ACAAAATCCCTGCATTATGTAACTAAATTATCGTCCAAAATTCATATGCCAAATTTGCAATTTTAAAGAATTTTCCATAGTAACTCGACAGCACTGCTGACTGTCCAGAGGGACTTCCTTTCTTTTATTTTTTTTTTCTTTTTGGTCTGCCATATCATGTTCCATGTTGACGCACTAGCACAAAAGCTGAAATTATATTTAAAAGTTCTCCTTTCCTCTTCTCTGCCGCCTGTCTCTCTGTGGCTATTTTTTCGGACTTTCTTGGCTTGCGGATAGCATGTTATTTACTTTTGTGGTCATTGTGCGCCGGCCTCCGAGGAGCCCCCAAAAGCCCCAAAGTTATAATTCTTTAAGTTTTTATCTGCCACATACACACACACACACACACTTACCAAACACAGATGGGGAAGCGGAACAGAGGGTCGTCTGCCTGTCTGGCTGGCTGACTGCTCAACTGGGCGTATACGTAATATTCTGGCTATACGAACTTAATGGGGGTGCCGCCACTTCACCCGTAATTTTTGCATATTAATGATTTATGATGTCGAGGGGAGAAAGCTAACGAATTAACAACAGCAGGAGGGAGGGACGTCGGCAGCACCAACGACCCGAAAGTCGCTGTCTATTTTCATTTAGAATTCGCTTAATTTTCATTTGCCTTCCTAATGAAAATGTTGGACAGCACAGCACAGCCGCCACGGGAAAAGTGAAAATTCAGCTGAACCAAAGCCGCTTGACTCTTTGGGCCACTTTCAATTTTAATTAAGAGCCGAGTCGAGCCCCGCCCGGCATGCCTTTAACTTCTTGGCCATTCGTTTCGGTTTTGTTCTGGCTGGCTGGTTGCTTACTTTTAGGCGATTTATGGGAAAACAGCAAATTTGTTAGGCTAATGATGCCATTTTTCCTGTCCAAATTACCTGACCAGGCCCACGGGCGGCGCCGGATGATCCGCCCTCCGTTCTCTTCCCCAGAAATACACAAATAAAATCAGCACAAACAAGGAGAAGGTAAAATTCGCCTTCGATGCCTAAAGTCATGTGTGTGTTTTATAAGGACAAATTGACCAGAGATGCTGGGAACTGTTGATAGAACTAGTTCGTGGCTAAACAAAATAGGAGTTACGTTAAAAATAAAAAAATGATACGTATAAATTGATTCTTTTCTATCATATAAATATATATAATTCTTAAATAAATCCTTTTACAATTAAAATAACATGAACAACAGATACAAACAACCTAAGATAAATAACTATAATTAAATTATGCAAAATTAAATAGATTTTGTTATGGGTATTATTCGCATTCAAACCTATCCTATCCATCATTAAACAAATATTTTTCTCAAATACGTATTTTTTATATGTTCCTTGTGAATACCACCTCTAGCATCATCTATTGACATTATGGTCCACCGCTTGTCCAGCAAGTTGTGCCAACTCAGCAGAAATATTTGCTGTGGCTTACCGAAGAATAAGTACCTGCCATAAAGCCAGAAGATACTTAACCTGAGCTGTTCTTTATCCACAATTTCGCAGCAAACAGGCAGTGGCTGAGCTGGCTAGTAAAGCTACTCCTTGATGGCCGAGAACTAGCCTGAATTTCCATTTAATTAGCGGCCACGTTTGTCAGGGTAAATCAGGGAAAGGAACCCGGTGGAAGTGCAATGAAAGCAAACCGAAGTCTATTAAGCAGAGCAAAGCCAAAATGGCAAACGGAGCGCTGCGATTTAATGCCAATAAACCGCGTAAGGCACATCCAGTCCTTCTGTAACAGAGCTAACCAGCCAGAACCCGAGACCGGAACCGGACCCCATTCTCCCAGTCCGAATCCGAAAACCCCAGGACTTCCAACAATGACCCAAGGGGTGAGGGGAAGAAACGAGTAATCTACCAACTGAATGTGCAACATGCCAATGCACATGATGTGTTTAATGGTTAAATTGTTGCTAATTCCATTAGCCGTATGCTGGCCTGCATTCAGTGTACCCCTCTGTGGGAATGCAGAGAGAGAAAAGCATTTGAACTTTGCGTAAAAATAAATAAATTGAAATTTAACTTAAATACAACTAAAACAAATTCGGAAAAAATATGAAAGAAAATTGCCTTATATTAAACCCATACTTTATTTCTTCACTTTCGATCCCCTTTTTTGGTTCAGTGTATTATGGATGGTGTGCACCTTTGTGTGGGTGTCCGAGTCGGTGTGTTTGTTGTTGTATTTGTGGCCAAAGTGTTGCAATGCCAGCAGCTCCAACGAACCAAATAGAAGACCAGGCCAGATCCGAAAGACGACCCGCTGGCAAATGGAACGTGCACAAATTAATGTTAGGTTGACGCAATGTTGGCAAGGCTCGAGTACCGTGACCCTCCCCCCTGGGAGCCCCTTCCCCTGCTTATCCTCGCCATCATGATTTATCCAGCCTCCCGCCCGCTTCAAATTTGGCACATTGTTTGCCGCCAGGGTGTGCAGATTTGTCAAACGTGTTTCGGGATGTTGGGTGCAGGCACCAGAGCTGATTGGAAATGCCATAGATTTCGAGCCACTCACAAAACGACCAGAGGCAAGCCTTTACCACGGACACACCATTTACGGCCGGAAGAAATTAGCCTGCTAAAGTTTCCATTAAACTTGGTGATGTAACAGTTCAATGGGTTAAGCAAAGGGTTAAAGGATATTAAAACATTTTAAGGCATAAAACAATTAGTAATTGTAAGAATTCATCTTAACGTCTTTCTATTTCCCAAGCGAAATTAAACATTAAACTAAAAATATTTTAGAATTTTAAAAAGTAATAATAATTACCTTGAAAACATTAATACCACTCTTAAAGCTGCATAGAAATACTAAAATTAAGCCTAACAAAATTAAAAACAACCTAATACCAAACATATTTATATTAATACCCTTAATTAGGGTTTTTTAACCCCTCAAAGAGAAAAACTCTATTCCCCTTGCCTATAATACCCACTTAAAAGTGTTGATTATTCACACTAACCCTCGACAGTAGTGGTGGGGCAACCTATAAAATCCGTTTGATGGATTTAAAATTTCTGCATCAAAGATTTTTCGCACTTACCCCGCAACGCGTTGGCCTCGTTCCAGCGAAATTAAAAGCTTGCCTGCCAAATGATTTAACCCCGAAAACCCCTAAAACGGTGGGCACATTAAATTTGTTTAGTATGTGCACTAAAGTAAACGCGACAGGGCATCAAGCCGCACAAATGGTTATGGTATCCCAAGTTGGGTATTTCACCTGTCCCCCGCACCCAGAACCAGTCCATGGCTGTGGCTCCAAGCCCTCCGCTTCATTCAGTTAACGCGTCGCAGTGGCGTAGTTGGCACTTTTCTATTTATTTGCCCATTAACGCTCATTTGCGGTTATCAGGTAAATTGGATAAAAGCCAACGTAGCATGAAGCCGGGCAAGCCAGCTCCGTCTGTGCCAGTGCCTGTGCCTCTGCCTGTGCCTGCTCCTGTGGAAATCCTGTGGAAAGTCCTATTTTCCCCAGCCAGCCTGCCCCCGGCTCACTCCCATTTTTACCATTCCGCTTGCTTATCTTCGAGCGTTGTTGCAACATGAAATGAAAGCTTTGCCTTTGGCTTTGACTTTGCCTCTGGCTGCACTGGAAAAATACGAAGGGAGGCAACCTTAAAAAAGGGAAATGGAAAATATTGAACAAATTGTAGTTTGTGAAATGTACAGATAAAGAATTGCTTTTATTTTGTACTCAGGTTACACCAATATGAATTTTAACATTAATATTTTTACATTACTGTAGATATCTTGATATTACATTTGAGGCATTACTCAACAAAAACCCTTAATTATTTTAGATTTATTAGAAGTTGTATAGAGAATAAATCTAACCTGACCAGATAAAAGGATTTCTCTCAGTGCCAAAAGGAAATGAAAATCTTTTAAGTGTCCTCCACCTTACCTTTCCGTTTACTTCGCTTTCGCGTTAACTGCCGCAGTCATTAACATTTTACGACTGTTTGATCCTGGCTTACCAAATCCACACGCAAATATATCAAAATTCAAATTGAATCCAAATATTTGCGGTGGCAGGAAGCAACCGAAATTTTCGCATGCAATCCGCAATTTGTTTTGACTTTTACATAAAACGTTGACTGGCAGCTTATGCGGCCAGCATCAAATTTCATATCCACAAAGGGAATACCTCATAATTTCCCCTTCGACAGCCAAAAAACTTTATGCATTCGCTGCGAGGCGGGAAAAGAGCGCGCAAAATTTAAATGCACCATATTGCAAGCTGAAATGAAATTTTGTGGCTTGTTGGTAAAACAAAAAGCGGCAAAAAAAGATGTAAATAACGGCAGAAAAATAAAAAATACAAAATTGAAAGCTATGACCAGCGCCTGCAACACAATACTCATGCACACGCGGTGGCATTGTGGCTGGGGATCGGTGTCGTCCTTTTGTCCTTCGTCCTCGTCGCCAGCCACTGTTTACGCGGTCGCTCAATATGAAAGTGCATAGAGTAAAGGCTCAGTTTTGCACTTAAAAAAAACTATCAGTTAACTGGAAACTACTTAAGTGGAGGTCTAATAGCCAGATGTTTCGATAATCATGAAAACTCATTTAAATATTATTTTTTAAATTTATACTATTAGTTTTTTTTTTAAACATATTACAAATTATAACAATACAAATAAGAACTTTTCTTTCTCAGAATAATATTCCTTAATTTATTTAATAAATTCAAATTTTTAAGATATTTTTTTCAGCATATTGAAGCTTGAGCTGAAGGGGGAGTGTCAGTTGGTCTGCGGTCGGTTTGCGCAAAATTAAATTTTGCCGCGGTTGCCCCCAAAAGTCCAACACACTTCCACTATGAAGCTCCACACTAACGCACACATATACAAATTACTATTGCGCCAAAATATAAAAAGCGAAAACCCAACAGCAATCCTTATACAAAAGCAACATCTGCACTCTGCACTTAGGCAACACAACCAAAAAGAATAAGGGAAAAAATTAAAGAAAAAAACCTCTGCGTTTTATTTTCGCAATTTTGTATATTTCAGTTCGACATCTCCATTGAGGAATATTCCCAGGCCCGTGTCGGCGCCCATGGGCACTTTTTTCGTCTGCTCCACCAGGTAATTCGAAAGGATGTGGAGGATGGCGGTCTTAACACTCAGCTGTCCAACCCGCATACCTGAGATAAATGGATATTACAGTCAATATAAATTATGTTCTAGTAAAAGAAAATTAAATAAATAAATTATGAATGTCATAAATATTTATAAAAAAGGCAACTTATATTTAGAAAATGCATAATACTTACCTAAACAAATACGGGGACCATCGCCGAAAGGCAGGAAGCATCCGCGCTTGTTGAAGGCACTTGCTGCTCCGTTCTCAAACCGATCCGGCTTAAATTCACTAGCCTCTGGGTAGATACCGTCATCATGGTGGTACTGAAAAGCGGGCACCATCACCGTAGTTCCTGGCTCCAAGTCCACAGTTTTGTCCTTGCCCAAATCAAGCTGAATGGGCTTAGTGCAGATACGCATAAAGAAACCGATGGGTGTTGTTAAACGCAGTGATTCTGGAAGAGTTCAGGTATATTTCAAATAAAATATTAATAAAATAAATATTATACATTATTATTTATACTATAAATAAATAATTAAATGCCAATTACAGGGCTCAAGAGTTGACTTCTGCCTCTCTAATTTTGTTAAAAACCAGAGGTCTCTACGTATACTTTTGTTATAAAATATTTTCCTTAACCCATAAACACCTACCATTTACGCACTGATCCAGATAGGGCAGGGCGTTGAGCTGCTCATAGCTGATATTCGCATTGGCATCCAAAGCGTCTAAAATTTCCGATCGCAACTTTTCCTGCTCTTCGCGGTGCTCGCTCAGCTGATAAGGAAAGTAATTTTTATTATTTTTTACGCTGATCAATTGTGAAATTAACTCACCGAATAGAGCATGTGGTAAAGCACAGCCCCGGAGGTCTCGTATCCGTCCAAATGGACGGTAAGGGCATGACCCACGGAGTCATGGATGGTATTCCCACGCTCTTGCAGCTGGAGAAGGTGGGAGAGGTAGTCCGTGCGACCCTCTCCACTGCCGCCCTGCCGGAGTTTAATCGCATCCTTGGTCAATCGCAGAAAGAACTCATCTGATGCCTTGGTGAAGAAGCGCATCTTAAACAGTTTTCGCATAATTGGAGCCACCAGGGTCTTGTTGAAACGGATCATTGAGCTGAAGGCAAAGACGGTCCAGTCCGTGGAGGTTTTCTGGAAGGCCCCGAGCTCTCCGACATCACCGCTTAGCGAGCCCGCATCGATGCCCCATATAAAGTCAGCCATTACGTCGGCCGTGAAGCGATAAGAAAGCTGGAACCGGAATCAATTAGTATTACCTAAAAAGTATTTATTTTAATCTAGTGATACTCACATCCCTGGTCTCGATGACATCGCCCTTCTGCCGCCTCGCCCGCTCAATATACTCTACTAGCTTACGACCGCTCTGCTCCCAGATAGTAAAGGCCAGTTTTAGCCGGTTGGGCGTCAGACCGCCCACATTCTCAGTACGCCTTCGTTTCCAATCCTCGCCAGCGCTGAAAAACGGCGACCTTGCCACAAATTTATCATCCGCATTGTGGCCGGTGAAGCTGCTGGTTATAGTGTCCCTGAAGTGACTGAACTTGTCCACCAAAATCTCATGGGCCAGAGCTGGATCAAGAATGAGAAGCTGGGGCTGTCGAGTGATGAATGTGCCCACTGCTCTATGTTTATCCTTGTACTTACTAAGAATCATATTAATTAAAATTAAGTTTAATATTAACTGTCCGTCTGATACTCACTTGTAGATCTCCTGGACGTCAAGTATAAGACTGCGACTCTTGTTCACCAGAATGCCCGGATAGGTGCCCAGCAGGGTCAGCGGCTTGGCGGTGACCACACCCCGCTTGTCCCAGTACCTGTGGTACCACGTCAAATAGAAATAAACCCCGGCAAAGGTGACGTGAACGAAACACAAGACCAAAGCAATTGCAGTAAGCATGGCGGCTACACTTAAAATCGATCAGATCTTCACGGTGTCCGAATGGAAACTGCCGGCCATTTCAACTGATAATTCGCAGTGAAGCATTGGAATCAAAATGCTATATAAGTACATAGGTACGACAAGGGGCACTTCACTGATATATTTTAATCTTTATTTTTTACAGCCAGAACCGGTTTTTTATAAGCTTTTAATTTGTATTCGGCACACGATATTGATAACACTATCACCCCCAGCACTCCGCTGATAACTATTTGTTGGAGAGGTAAGTTAGGTTCTCCGAGAAACACGAGCTCTTCTCTGCCCCAGCTAGCTTATCATGAAATACAGTGAAACCAAAAATATGTACTATTTAAAAAGGTAATTAGACTTTAAATATTATTTCACAAGTTAATGAAACTTTTCGAATAACAAACAAAGTGTGCATTAGACTATCAATATAGGCATGACTTTTAATTTATTAAGTGTATTTATTAGAGGCAGCCACAAATCGTATATTATATTTTTCGCATTTAATATATAAACAAAAGCTTGATTGCTAAGATCTATCTCTGAAGTCGGCGATATTCGAGATTAACATTTCCCTGCAGCACGATCCCGAAGCCAGCGTCTTCGTTGGGTACCAACCGTTCTCTGCCTCTTAACACTTCAAACTCACTGACAATGTGAGCCAAGGCTGATTTCAAAGTCAGTAAAGCCAAGCGCATACCTAGAAATATAATAAAAATAACATATTATAATGAATAACTAATCAAAATTTTATTTATATAGAAAACTCACCCATACAAACGCGAGGACCATCGCTAAATGGGAGAAAGATACCCTTCCTCATTAACTCTTGATAGGCCCCGTTGTCGAAGCGTTCGGGCCTGAACACTTCGGGTTCGGGAAAGTATTGTTTGTCATGATGAAACTGATAGTTGGGTATCATGATCGTCACGCCCTCCTCAACTTCAAGCCTTTTGACTTCATTCAACTGAATTATTGTGGGATGTGTACAGACTTTTGTGTATTGAGGTATCAAACTGCTAAGTCGTAAAGATTCTGCAAAGAAAATGAGGTGCTTATTATTAATACTGATTACATTTTTGTATAAATTAATATATATATTGCAGAAACAGTATTTTTATGAAGACAAGTGCTGAAGGTTGAATTCAGTTTTGGAATATATATATATGTGTATATACAGGCTATATTCTTTCCCACTAACTTGAACACCCAACAAATAAATAATAATTACTAACCGTAAACCACTTGCTCCAGATATGGAAGCGAACACAACTTCTCAAAGTCCAGGCTCTTGTCGGTTCCCAAGCCAGCCAGGATTTCCGTTCGCAACTTTTTCTGAGCTCCTGGATGTTCGGACAACTGGAAATACAAAGGAAAGCTACAATATATCCAAATGTTATCCCCAGGATCACCCACATAATGGAGAGCGTGTAGGAGAGCCGCACCAGTGGTGTCGTATCCATCCAGTAGTACAGTCAGGGCATGACCCACCAGTTCGTCATGGGTGGCCTGCTTCTGATCACGGAGTTGCAGCAGATGGGAGAGGTAATCCTTGCGAGCAGCATCCCTGCCGTCCTTTAGACGCAACTCAATGGACTCCCTGGTCAGGTTGGAGAAGAACTCGTCCGTTTCCTTCGGATAGAAACGAAAGCGCAGCAGGCGCCGGACACAGGGCGCCACGATGGAGGCCATAAAAATAGAGATCATGTAGAAGGCGTAACTGGTCCACCGGATGGCCATCTGCTGGATCTTATTTTGTTTCTCCATGGGTCGCGTAAGGGTTCCAGCATCAATGCCCCATATGAAGTCCGCCATTACATGGGCCGTGTAGCGAAAGCAGAGCTGCAAAAGTAAGGCATTTTTTCGCACTCAAAAAATTCGAAATCCAAATTCTCAACTCACATCTCTGGTTTCCAGGATCTGGCTATGGTCCGTCACCTGGCGGGTCATGTAGTCCGTTAACATTTTTCCGCCCTGCTCCCAGATGGCATAGCCCTGCTTCAGCCGATGACTGGATATGCCCGCCTGGGCGTCCGTGCGAAGTCGCCGCCAGGATTCACCAGCAGCCCAGAAAGGATTGAGAGGGGCATACTTGTCCCATTTGGCATGCTTGATGTAAGAACTAGTCAAGGAGTCCTTGAAGCTGCGAAAATTCCCAACCAATACCTCGTGGGCCAGTTCAGGATCAAGGACCAGGATCTGCGGCTGGCGGGTCACGAAAACACCCACGGCTCTGTGTTTATCCTTGTATTGGCTGTGGAGGTAGTTCTGTTTTATTGCTATACATTCGATAACGTAGTCAAACCCACTCGTAAATCTTTTGCACGTCGGTGACTAGGTTGCTCTTCCGGGTCAGGAGGCCCGGATAAGTGCCCAGTACGCCAAGCGGACGAGCTGTGATTAGGCCGCGCTTGCGCCAGTAGTTGTGGTGCCAGGTGAGGTACAGGTAAGTGCCTAGCGGAATCAGGAACAGTGACACCAGAACTAACATTTTGTCGGTCTCCGTGCGCTGACTAGGCTCCTCTGGCTCTGGGCCAATACTAATCGAAAGTACGGAAGATGCTGCGGCAGCATCGCTTTCACCACTGATAACAGTTTGTTGGAGAGATAAACGCCCTGCCGATTTGCTATTTTTGTTTACCAAAGTCAATTGATTGTATAAATACAACAGACAGCTGAGCGAACAAATAAATCAGTAATTTCTGGATTTGCTGATGCTTGAGGTTATCTGTTGGCCATTCAAGTTCAATTGATGACTTTGTGACCTTGCAATCTCTGGAATAAAATCTAAAATATGAACTTAAAAATATGTATTTGTGAGTAAACCTTTTTCTAACCAAAAAATAAAACTCGTTGTGTGTATTAAAACACATCTTAAAGCTATATTTTGGTCTTACTATTACATTTAGTCGGCATTGAGCAACGGAATTATGTAAAACTGTACAAAGATCTCCTCCTGGCCCTCGCCCTGCATCACCAGGTGCAGCTCTAGCAGGCCAATCGAGTTCGTTTTAATGGCCACCTTAGTGGCCACCTGCATCGCCTTGTTGGTCAGGCGTATCTGCTGACTCTTATAGCGGGCGACCACCGTCTGTTTACAGTTGAACATCATCATCATGGGACTGGTCTTGGCCACCTCCACGCTAAACACGGCCTGCATGATCCCAACGGTGGTGATCTTAAAGTGCGGCCTATCCGGGGAAGTGACAAACTCAAATTCCTCCGCCGACTTCTCCAGTTCGTGGAATACCTTCGAGAGATTTGGACCTCGCACAAAAATTACATTTAGATCTGAACCCTTGAGGTTCATGTCGTAGTCAATGGGCTCCTCGCAGTCCATCGTTTTTATGGCGCACTCTGTGCTCACATCCTCATCGTCGTATGGATAGAGAATGATCTTCAGAGGATCACCCTGATCGCGGTACATCATCCTCAGGCTGCAGTCGGCGGATCCAAAGAGATTCAGGCACTCGGAGAGCACATTCATCTTCAGGCCGAAGCTCTGGAAGTCCTGCACATAGAATTCCTTAAACGCGCCCGGCGGCATGAAGAGTGTCGCCTGGATGGACTTGCCCTGCTCCACGGTGATGCGCAGACCGTCATCCGATACCTGGAGCATGCCATACTGGAAAATATACACACAAAATGGTGATGAGACTTCCCTCATCCTCAGTGATAGTTTTTCTCTCTCTTACATCATTAAAGCATATGGACTTGATGGCCTGGTTGAAGGTCTTGACGTGGTCTAATCGGCCCACGAACTTGTAGTCGCCGTAGGGCGATGCCTCCTCCATGTCAGTCGCGGAATATTTCGTCGTACAGCTGCCTCAACTGATCCGGCTTAATGACCTGCTCGGTGCTGGGCTTCAGCAACTGGTGGAACCGCAGGGACAGTATGTGTGGGCAGGTGTAGCTTGCCCGGCTCTCCTCGCTCCAATCCTCTAAATACCGCTGCTGACAGCTGGGAATGTCGTGGTAGAGGATGCCTCTGGGCAGCTGCAGCACATGGCTCTGGAAGAAGTCGCACTTGCAGTAGTTGATTCGCGGCAGCAGCCGGAAAACCTCCGTTCCCTTGCACAGTTCCACCACGCAGAGGTTGCGGTGGCCTCCAGCACGGTAGTAGACGAAGCTATAGCTGTCCAGGAGATGCAGTGAACGCTCCACCAGCTCCTCGCCCAGCAGCCGTGAGAGGTCGTAAAACAGTTGTCCACGTTCTTCCTCTGCGTTGTCAGTAATAAATACAATTAAACCGGAAAATTGGCGTATAGGAACAGGGACTCACCTTTTGTTTGGCTTCCAGAGACGTGTTTTTGATGATTTTCAAAGATTTGGTCAACCAGTTGTGGAAGGAAGCACTGCGAGAGGTTCTCCAAGCTTTCTGCCATTCAAACCATGTCCTTTAATCGATTGTTTATTCAAAATGAACTTAATAACAAAAATCCACAATTCGTGCCGCCAAAAAACAGCTGTTCAACTGTAATACACTGCCAAAAAACTGTTATACAGAGTTAGAAGTGCTTTAAAAAGGGTTGTCAGGTACTTTAAAATATATCGCATCGATACTATTTAATTTAAAAAATTAATATTTTACTAAATTTTCAACAAACCAAACTTGAAGTCATAACGAAAGAATGAATGGAATTTTAACAAAATTATATATTTTTAGCAATAATATTAAAAATATTTCTAATAATATTATTGTAATTATTATTAAAATAATTAAAAAAGAAATGAGAAACTTTTTTGTATACTCTCCCAATTTGTAAATGGATTTTTAATCGATCAATTTCAATGAAAACAAAGCTAACATGATAAACAATTGCATTTTAGATCAAATTTAAAACATTATATAAAAATAATAATATATCCATAGTTTTTATCATAACGGACAGACGATCAGGCGGACATAGCTAGATCAACTTGGCTGTTGATGCCTGTTAAGAATATATACACTTTATATGCTCAGAAATGACTATTCCTACGTTCTGACTAAAATTATATAGAAATCCTAATGGATTCCCAAACCCAGATGCGAATAAAACCACAAAACAAGTGCGACTTGGTAACGAATTGGTATAGACATCTTCGAGATCTTCATAAATATGTATTCTATATACATATACAGTTTCGATGTAGCATTAGGTTCTATATCTATTGGCTATTATCTGGATGAGTTAGTGCGTCGTTGATCTACGCTGTTTTTGGTTAATCTTAATCATAAAACTAAGTACTAAGAGCTAAGTGCTAAAACATATTCTCCTTTTCGGGTTTGAGGCCGGCACTCCGTCGCTTGCCGTTCTGGATCTTCATCATTTTGTTCTCGTCGGCGCACTTGGTGGTGATGGCGTTGCGCACCTCCTTTTCGGTGGCATTGCACTTGTGCGTCACCGCAAAGATGATATCCTGGATCTTGAGGGGATCGAGCATTTGCTTGAGCGGCTTCTGCTGGTCCTTGAAGGCGGGCGACGGCTTGCCCGTCATCGAGTGTGTTCCCAGGGTTTCCCGGTCGAAGATCGAGACGAGCAGCTTTCTGGTGGCCAGCGATGAGACCGCCCAGTTGATGTTCTCGAAGACGCTGGCGGGGACACAGGTATTGTTTGGGCCAATGGACACCATCACGTTGTCCTTGGACTGGCCGCCTTTGCTGAGATCGGTGAGGCTGCCGTTTCGGACTTTGACATTACCCGGTGATTTTAATGGCATCTTGTTGCCGTAATTCTGTCGCAGGAGGCTTTCGTCGTGCTGCTCGGATACCTGAATCTCCTGCAGCTTGCGTCGCTTGATGAACTGCAAGGGCTGGTTTGGGGAGTCCGCCTCTTCCCTCTTGACCCCCGTGCCAATCATGTACTGGTGGGAAACTGACTGCTGTTTCTGATGATGACTCTGCTGCTGCTCCTCACCCAAACAGATCTCCAGGCGATCGGAGTCAGCGGAGGTGCTCAGACTGTTCAAACTCTCCGCCGCCAGGCGAATCTCAATGGCGTCGGCGTCGTCGGAGGCCGATATGATTTTGTAGTCAAGGATCTCGGCCCTTGGCTGCTGCGTATTCTGGGCGGGCGCACATATAACCGAGCTGGGCGGCGTCAGGATCTGGTGGCTTTGCACTGTGGGTGGTGTCGGTGGAGCCGATTCCGCCCTCAAGAACGAGGCCTGCTGCATCCTGGCCGACGTGGCGTGTATCTGTGACAGGAGATCCGTGTGTTCCTGCAGCTTAGACTCCAAATAGCGCACCTTATCGCGCAGCGCGCGGTTCTCGGCCTCTACAGATGGATCCGCGGCCACAGAGCGCACGAACTCAAAGTCCTCGCTGGAGGTCTGCGACCAGGCATTCAGGCACAGCTTGGGGCGCCGTTTGGACTCCTCGATCGGATTCGCTTCCAGGATGCGATATTGCTGTAGAGACAAGAAAATAAATTGGTGCCCTGGCTTTGGCAGGCAACTCGGCTCCGGCAACTCACATTGTCCATGTTGATTGCGCGCTGGATCGGCGTCGACTGAGCGCAGGGCTGGTGGAAATTGGCGGCAGAATGCGAAAGGCGACTGCGATCGCAGTAGGGGTGGTTTTCCTCCGATCCGATCCGATTCCTTGTGAAAGGGAGACAACAACAACGGATTCCAGCCACACGGACGCTCCCTGCAGGGACAAGCTGACGGCCAAAGCGCTTGCATGTGCAAGGGACGACGTGTGTGTTTGGGTTCTGCTCGGCTCTCTCTATTGTTACACAGGTAAGCGATATCCTGCAATCCTGTTTCGGAGCAAGAAGGCAACTAGGTAAATTTCCCAACTAGCCCAGCTGTCCGACCCTCCGCTTTATTCCATTTCTATTTCCACTTTTCGCACGGGTTTCGCGCGGGAACCACAATCGCTTGTGTTTGTGTGTGTTTGTGATGCTACGGGCAGGGCTGTCGAGTAGCGCTCGGATCTGGCGAAGCACGAACTATCGGCTACTTATTTTATTTTTATTTAAACTTTATAAATGTAATATTTTAATGCTGTTTCTTTTATAATTAGAAGTAATGCGAAACTCTCGCGTGCAGTAAAATAAATTCGGGCATTCCGTAAATATATATACCTCAAATATTTTCCAATAAAAAGAATACTCAGAATAATGTCATAAGTATTTAACGGTAAAATATGTGATAGAGCAAAATATTTACAAACATCATAAGATACTTTTAAAAATTCTTCATAACTATATGAAATTAATATCATTTATAAATTTATTTTTTTCATAATATGGCCTCAAAGTCTAAAAATTGATACATATATTCAAAAATTATAACATTTTACAGGGCAAAATCTTTCTAAATCTTGAGTATTGGTTTAAATATATATGTATCCAAACCGGTGCATCTGCAATTTTGCTGAGATTGGAGTGATCTCTTTTGAAATCAGCACTATATCCAATTTCATTGATATTGAAAAATGCATCCTTTATGTATTGTTTAAGTTGCTTCCCTTATTCCGAGAACCCAAATAGACAATTGTTGGGTTTTATAAATAACCGGTTTTCAGGACTCTAGGTATTCCATTGGAATTTATGTGTATTGGGATAGCTTCAAATCCTTTTGGAATACATGTGTATATAGGTGCACTTGGGCAAACTCAGTTGCTCTCTGATCGGAAACTCACCCCTAAATTCCAAACAAGAAGTTAATATAACATATCAGGTACAAAATTGTCCCAGAAATAAAGTCTTTAATTTTAATACTGTTTTAAAGTATAGTTTAACAAGAAAGAAAGCTAACTTTGGCCAGCCAAAGTTTGTATGCCCTTGCAGGTAACAATTAAAATATATCTTGTGTTAGTTTTTATTAATTTAAAAAAACTGCATACCAAATTTAAAATTTTAAGAAATCATCATTTTTGGCCATTTTTGCTAATTTTAATGATGTAACCCCTTATAAAATTTCGCAAAAATGGCCAAAAAATCGATTTCTTCCGGACATGTCTAGAAAGATTCGCATGTTAATGCTGATCAAGAATATATATGGTTTATGGGGTCGGAAATGATTCCTTGACTTAGAAAAATATTATTTTGTATTATAAAATCTGATTTTTTTATATTAAAAAACTTCTTGATTTTTTTTTAAATTAAAAATATCATAACTCGGCCAAAAGAGCATTAATTTTAAATCGGAAAACTGTTCTGTGCAAGATTTTCTACAGTTAATAAGTCTGCATACTTCATTTAAAAATTTTGAAAATTCAATTTTTTATCAAAATCCAAAATTTTAATGATGTAGCCCCTTATCAAATTTCGCAAAAATGGCCAAAAAATCGATTTCTTCCTGCCATATCTAGAAAGATTCCCCTGTTGATGCTGATCAAGAATATATATACTTTATCGGGTCGGAAACGTCTCCTTCACTGCGTTGCAAACTTCTGACTGAAATTATAATACCCTGCAAGGGTATACAAATTAGAAAGAAAATAATATAATATAATACTTTAGTTCTTGTTTTAAATCCACCGCCATAATTTTCCACTAAGCCTGGAAGTACGTACCGCATGTAGGTCTTGCTTTGGCGGCCTTGACAGCCCTAAAAGTAGTTCAGGTAGGACTGCCATCTGGTGCAGGGAATAACCGTTAATCCGAGGCCGTAAAAACATAATTCCGGAACGATTTCAGCCAACATTATTCGCAAGATTACAATAGAAGCCCGCTGCAGCTGCACTTTCGACCAGTCGCAAACCTTTTCGTTACCTGTTGCTAATTCCGCCAAGACAATGGCCGCCGGATTCCGTCCATACCTTCGGGACTCTAACCTTACAAATAGCGAGGCACCGGGAATTAGCATGTCAGTCATCCACAGCTCGGAGCCGCAGCCGCACTCACTGCCGGCCTTATACTTTCATCCACAAACTGCCGTTCTGCCCTCCGTCCAGTTCTCGCATCCGTATCACCAGTATCTAAGCCAATTTGCGCCGAACTTCGTGCCCTACTATTACCGCCTGCTCTCGCGTCCGATTATGAAGCAGGAGGAGATGGATATCGAAAACTACATCAATTACGAGGTGGCCGCCCAGCAGGCCATAATGCGCCAGAGGAGCTCGAAGCCTTTGGGACAGTTACAGCCACTGATGCAACCTCCGCCAGTGCAACAAATCCCAATGAAAATTCCCCGAAAGGAAGTTCGACGCAGTTCGCCTCCCAAGCGTCGCATTATCAACGCCCAATTGGTGGCCATAGCCACACCTTCGGGAGGCATTAAGAACATTGAACCACAAATTGAGCCTCTTCCGCCCGTGGAGGATTCCTTCAAGCAGCAGGTGGCTAAAATCCAGAAGAGCCAGCACCACTATGAACAGCTCTTTGGGAGACTCACCTCGATGTTGAAGACCCTCAACCAGCGCTACGATAATGATTACGAGAGTGTGCCTGCTCCGCCGTCGAAGAGGCCCCGCCATATGTCCACCAGCTCCGCGGAGTCGCATCTCCCCGACAACGCCTCCGAAAACGAACGGGAGAATCTGGTTCAGTATCCACAGCGAGTGAAAAAGGAGGATGGCAGTACTGTGTATGTACTAGGTCCGAATGGCACCGAAATCACCGCCCACCAGTACGGAGAGGTGTTCTTCACAAATGCTCCAGTGGCGACCAGATGTCTCCTGTGCGTAGTCTTTAGCAGCGATGAGTTGGCCACGCACACTCTCACAGGAAAACCCTCCCCTGCCTTCTATGGCCGGGAAAGACCTCCCAAGCTGCAACTCGACCAGCGCAAGGTCGACGATATTGTGGTTTGTGTTATGAACCGAACCGGAGGCAAGGAGCGTGTCATTAGAGCCACCATCACCACAAAGTGCGCGGATACGGCCAAGAAGTACAAGCGCAGAGCCAAAAAGGCACAGATAATGGCAATAAAAGATGAATGTTAGCGGATAGAAGACACGATTTCAGTTCTAAATAATTAAGTGGCTAGATTAAATCCAGCTTAAAACTTTGAAAGAAATTTAACTTAACGACGTGCCAAGAAGGTGCTAAGGCGACTGAAAATAGTATGTAATGGGGGGCTAGTAATTAAATAGCTGTGATTAAATAAATAACTGAAAAAACTAATTCTTTCTTGTTTTTTTTATAATTAGTTACTAAGGTATTGATGAATATCGATATGAGAAATCCGATATGATATAATATAAAAGAAGATATTTCCGCTCTTATTCTTCTTTCAAAATCAAATTAACGAAATTTGGTTTATTAGCACATTAAAGAGCTCTCCTTTTCGCAACCATTTGCCTTTTGAATTTAAAAATAACTATTTGCTATCCGAACTCTACTGTTTCTTCGCCTTGGGGTCCCAGGCCTCCACTTTGTTGGGTGTGGTTGTGTAGGGGTAGTAGGCCTCTGTAAGAGAGAATATTCGTACTCTTAGGATTCGAGTGGGACTGTGATACGATTACCCTTAGTGCCGGATAGATTTTCGCTGTGATCCGCCAGCCACTTGTGTTTGGGTCGGCTACCATCGCGGATGGGAGGCAGATCGGTCTGTACAAAAATAATAACAATTTAATCGTTTTACCTGGCTAGGGCTTAGCTTATATGGAACAGAACCTTGTAGTGCATCCAGCCGTACCAATCGGCGGGGATCTGGGATCCGTCGTAGTCCATGTTGACATGGGGGGCGAACTCGATCCAGCGGTTGCGGCCGTAGAAGTAGTACGGGTTCTCAAAGTATTTGTTGCCATACTTGTCGATGCCCACCAGGGTTCCGATCTTCAGATCATCGTTCCTGCGAAATAATGTTGGTTTTGCAGTTTGAGGCAGTCTTATATAAGATCCCGGGGCCTACCTATAGAGCTTCAGGTACGCCGCCTTCAGGCCCCCGGACTCGCGGATGATCTGGAAGAGCTTGCTCACACGGTTGAGGCCCAGGAACTTTGCCATGCTGCCAAAAGAATCGAATTGTTTAACGAAATTTAAGTGTTTTTCGATATTCCTGGACTCACCTGAAACAAAAACAAAGTCAATCTGCAGTGTGACCATGGATGGGGAAAAATACCGCAACATATTCAAGTATTTAAATACCAAACTTGACTCTTGCAAAAATTCAGGGAAGGATCATGAATTTGTATATATAATAAAAAATTCAGCGTTTGACGCATCTATTGTTAGAAATTGATTTAACAATTCCACCATTAATTTGAAGAATTAAACATTAAATACCCAATTGGAATCGATTATAGCCGTATGACACTCTAATGCAGTTTTCATTAATTAGCTACTTCATTAGAACCTTGAAAGAGACCACTATATGTGTAATTTTGCTTGGATTATTTTGGTAACACGACTTAAATTTATGTTTTTAACCTATAATGCTTAACTGTTTTTTAATTATTACAAAAAAAAATGTTTAATTTATTTTACAGCGCAAGAACGTTGCCACCGCAAAGCATATGTATGTATCATTTTTACTAATTTTCTAATATTTTTTCAGTTCAAAAACCAGCGAAATGTGTTATAAAAATAAAAATTACCATTGTGAGACCATACTGTCATGCATTATTCTAATGCATTAGAGCGCCATATAGTCGTCTTGCTCGCACTTGTGTAAAGCGCTATAGCGCTGTCAAATCTTTAATAAAGTCTCTAATTAATGCGCCTGTGTCATACGGCTATAAATACCTAACTCGAATCGATTGATGGTATTTCTGGTCGCCCGGTCACACTGTCGGACATCTGTTTGCCGGATTCATTCTTCTTCGTGATTCATATTTTTTGGAAACAAAAATAGCTTAAAAGGCGATTAAAAACATGGCCAAAAACACGTCCAGCAGCGCGTTCCGCAAGATCGATGTGGACCAGTACAACGAGGACAACTTCCGGGAGGATGACGGCGTAGACAGCGCCGCCGCCGGACCGGATGAGAGCGAGATTACGACGCTGCTGACGCAGGGAAAATCCGTGGAGGCGTTGCTCAGTGCCCTGCAGAATGCTCCTCTGCGTTGCAAGAACCAGAATGTGAAGGTAGGCCATCGCATCCAACCGGCTGGTGTGGCGTAATTGTAACCTCTCCCGGCCTCTTGCAGGACCACGCCCTGAACATCACCCTGCGGGTCTTGCTGTCCATTAAGTCGACGCAGATGGACCAGGCCATTGATACTGTGGATCAGAACGACCTGATCGACGTGCTGATGAAGTACATATACCGGGGATTCGAGATCCCGTCGGAGGGCTCCAGCGGCCACCTGCTGCAGTGGCACGAGAAGGCCTTTGCCAAGGGCGGAGTGGGGTGCATCGTGCGAGTCCTGTCGGATACGAACCGTGCCTAGACGGGATTACCATTTACCAAAGGCTGTCATTGAGTCGTCGTCACCATCCCTGCTCCCTTCCAACTGATTTACACGCATCGCGGAGCATTTAATCAACGCAGGTCTAGGACGCATAGCTTCCCCCCGGGAGGTGACATGCGACCTAAGCTGAACCCCCCTGTTCTGTTCTTTTGCCGCAATACAAATGACAACGTTTTCCAAATTAGATTTTAACTGGTATCCAAGTATTAAAGTTTTTATTACGAAATACGAGAGGCTTTAATTGATGGGTTTTATATCGGATTAAAGTTATAGAATTATGACGGAATGGGGCAGAAAGATGATATGATGTATTTTTGTTATTATTATACCCTTGCAGGGTATTATAATCTTAATAAGAGATATTTTCGACCCTTGATCAGCATCAACAGTCGAGTCGATCTAGCTATGTCAGACTGACTGCATTGTCCAAGTTATGGTAAACACAAAAGTCAAGCACCCTAGTACCAACTTACTACGATCTTACCACATAAAAACAAGTAGCCAATGTTTGAATCAACCTTTTCTGCTTTTATTTGACTATTCAATGTGTAATAAGTGCGTTGAATAACTTAAAAAACCAGTCACGGTTTTCATTACACCATCCTAAAACTGTATAAAGCGAGGATGACAAATGCTGGGCGAATTGAAATGCTGCAGTAGGATTACGCTAAAATGATAGACCCCACAATACAGGGTCGCATGCAATTTGATGATGATATTTCAGTGCTTAGGAGAGGGAACATTTAACAAAGAAGGAGTTGAGTTCGTCTTCAAACGCGTCTTCAATAAATAGTTTTTGTGTTTTCATGCTGCTTATATGTGGGGATTATTAAGTCGAAGGCTGCTCCAAATCGCCAGATCTACCACATGTGAGTCTCGCGGATCTCGCTGATGATGTGATTCGCCCGCGTCAGTGCCTTAAAAAACAACATTTAGATCAAGTCGAAATGGGAAAATGTATATTATAGAAAATGTACCTTCAACATATCGGCCGCCTCTTTCCGGCGCACTGCAATGTGATCGGACTCGTTGAGGAGCGTTTCGGCCCTGTCCGATTTATATAGATGGGTAACCAGCTCACTTTGCAAGTTGTCCTTAACGTAGTTAACCAAGAAATGCATAATGGCCTTTGGTACCGAGTCTTGTATGGATTTGCGCACAATGTAGAAGTACGATTTGATCAGGCGTTCTGTAAAGTAAATAAATAAAATAGAGGATTGAGGTCGATTGATATCTAGGATCCTATGAATAATACCCACCGATCACATCGCAATCCTTCTGCTCCTTGTCAGTCAGCCTACGTGGATTGTGATTGGCTGGAACATCGGGCAGCAGATTGACTGGCTTCACCGGACTGACAAGATTGTTATGAACCGGCGTATTGCTGGCCGAGTTCTCAATGCTGTCCGGACGCGTTGGGGCCGGCGGTAAGATGTTAGACAGCCAGGTGCTGGCCATAGATGACGTCTCGCTAACGTGGTTCTATTTCATAAAGGGGTTAAATAAGACGACGGAACCAATATAAATAGCCTGCCACTTTCACCTGTTCATGGGCATCATTTTGCTGCTGCTGCTGTTGTTGTTGCTGCTGGGAGGCTGCACTTTGCTGCGCCGAAACCTGTGGTGACATATGATTCCGCGGGGTGTTGCCTCGCCTCTGCAAATTCACCTGGGAGTAGGGATCGTTGTCTGTCTTTAGCAGACTGGGCACCAGAGCCGCATCCTTGTGGAAATCGGGATGCTTGGTGTTGATGTAGGCCAGCTCGATGGCCACAATGTTCTCCACCATGACATTGGTATGCGGCAGACGGCGGCGCAGCAGCTGCGTGACCACATCTACAATCTTCTCATGAAGTTTTGGGAATCTGCAGGAAAATAGGCCTCATAAGAATAGTCACTTCTACCTTTCAGGTATATGCACTCACCGCAACATCTCCTGCTGCACCTCGTTGCCGCAATGCTGAACAATGCGCTGCATCTCCTCGTGAATGAGCTCCACGCAGCGCAGAGAGGGTTCCTCAAGTCGGCGAATCTGGCGCTTCACCAGCAGCTCAAACGATACCTCCGGAACGAAGAGTGCTGGCCGAGGGCCCGTTGCATTCCGGATGGCCGTAAGTATGTCCATTTTGCTCAGTCCCGCCAGCGGGTGTATGGAGTCCAGAGTGCGGCCGAAGGTTTCGTGGAAAATATAGCAGATGCGAGCGCCACCGCATAGCTCGGTGGTCTCAATATTCCGGGCCGTGCCCTCAATGGTGGAGCAATAGGCGCTGGCGAACTTCGTGATGATCTGCAGCAACGTTTGGCTTTTGTCGGAGACGTCCTCGCCGTAGGAGTTAAGCAGCGATTGGAATTGCGTCGCCATGATATTAACGCGAGTCTGTAAGCAGGAGAGAAACATAATTGCAAACAATATTGGTCTCGTTCTTCGCAGGAAAAATATAAAGGCTTAACGTTTGACGTAAATTTCTGAACAAATCCGTTTTTTTCCACCTAAACTCACCTTTAAATCTGGCAGACAGTCGCGGATGTGGTGCATCAGCAGCCGGTTAAGTGTCTTGGCCAAGTAGGGTGTGCCGTTGCGAGTGGCCAGCGTTGGGTACTTGCGCTGCAGGAAAGCCGCCTCGTCCTTCATCTGCTCATCGATGTGCTTCTGATCCATGATGTCCTTTTGCGAGCGATTCATCACACCGATAATGCCCAGCTTCACAGGAATGACCCGACCGCACAGAATATCGATAGCATCCGTGCCTGCGTCCATGAGATCCAGCTTGGTGACCACGGCCAGTGTGCGACGGCCATCGGGATCCACATCCTTGGCCAGCTTCAATGCCTCGCTGGTGGCCATGTCCGTATTGGCGGCCGTCACAGCCAAAATGATCGAGTTTGGGTTCTCAATGTACTTGAGTACCAAGTCTTTGATTTGGGCCTCGATATCCTCCGGCTGATCGCCCACGGGCACCTTGGTGATGCCAGGCAAATCCACCAGCGTCAGGTTGACCACGTGTGTGGAGAATATCTTCAGGTTAATGGGCTCCGGGCAGATGCCCTTGTTGTTGCCTGCGGCACGCTCCGTTTCGTTCTCAATCTCGTTACGGATGTCATCGAAGTCGGTGAAGCACTTCTTGGAGTGTAGGAAGCGCCCCCACTCCTCAGCATTGGAGGTGCCTGAAAAGGGACTAAGATGTAGTAACTGAATTTGGCTTGTTTTGATTATGGCTTACCATTTTCCGAGGAACGATGCTCGCGATCGTCGAGCGGGCAGTAAATCAGCTGGAGAACCAATGGGCGACGGGTGACAATGCCAGTTCCACGGGGCAGAAAGGAGCGTCCAACCACGCTTTCGATTACCGAACTCTTGCCGGAGCTCTGGAAGAAATGTTGGAAACCAGCATTAAATGGAGTTAGAACTGAGACTGATAAACGTCGATGACCCGATAAGGAGAGCTTGTGCAAAAAGGAAGCACTTGGAATCCCACAGATTAGCTATTGTTATCTGGTACAGTTAAAGCTTTATAAGTGGAACATTTAGAAAACTGAGGAATGTTGGGAAAAGGGTGAATAAGGTGGAGAGTAAACCCGTATTGACTATCTCCAGAACGTCGTCATCTGGAATTCCATTAACAATCATGAATCAAAGTGCACTTAAAGCCGCAATCAAGGCACACATACACAACACGCGCATGT